AAATAAAAAGGCCCATTGTATTGGCCAGCCAGATCCAAGCCTTTCAAATGCCCATCCCTGTATAGTTTTCAAGTGGTTGGAAACAGCTATCAGTCAACCACCTGCCCTTCCTGCCTGGATGATGCCAAACTGACCTGACAGCTTTTGAAATACATTTACCAATTATCTGGGTCTATAGCAAATCTTCTCTTTCTTCCAAGAAAGCTTGCAGTTTGCAGTTTGATGCATGTTTGGTCAACAGTAACTGGTAAGAGGGAATAACTTCGACAATTGCTCTACTTTTTTCCTGACCACTGAAATATTTAGCTGTCTACAAGATACCATAATAAGTGGCTGATGGTGAAAAGGCTTTTCAGTGGAGCAAGTGATTGCTAGCACAGTAGCAAACAGTTTGCTTTTCTGCTGTTGTGTCTGAGAGGACTGGCTATTGCAAGAATACATGTCAATTTTTTTTTCAGAGTTGCCATAAAATCAAACCCTTTAATTGGGAGAGACATGTTATAAATCATACATTGGTAAGATAGACAAATCTAAATTTGTTAGCTGTGGGATCCTGGAAAAGCCAAACACTATGTCTCAATGCTAGGCATCTCATCTGTAAATGGGCAAATGTCTACATTGTAGAATTGTTGCAAGACACTTTTGGAAGGCTATGCAGTGTGTACATTGTTACAGGCAGATGGTGCCTCTCAACTTTTAATATACATCCAAATCCCTTGGGGATCTTGGTGAGATTCTGACCCTGAATGAGTTAGTCTAGGGTGAAGCTCAAGGTCTCCATTGCTAAGTTCCTAGGTGGTGTATGTGACACTAGTACCACACTCAGAATAACAAAAGTCTTCTTGTTTATTCCTTTGCTTGCTTGCTTGCTTTGAAAAGGGATATCTCATACTCTGAATTTGATATATAGGAGGATGACTTTGATCTCCCACCTTCTGCCTCTACTTCCAAGGTGCTAGGATTATAGGTATGCACAAGTACTCCCAGCACTAGCAAGAGGCTTGTTACAAGTACTCCCAGCACTAGCAAGAGGCTTGTTATCATTTGAAAGAGCCTATCACAGTGCTTAATAATCGTTACCACAAAATGTTTCAAGCAATTTTTTGTTTATTGTTCCAGACAGGGTCTTTGTATATCCTAGGCTGACTAGGAACTTACTATGTAGGTTATGTTCACCTAAAATTTGCCTTAATTCTTCTGTCTTTGACGCCCTCTTAAAAAATATTTTATAATTATTTTGCCTGCATGTTCGTCTGCCTGTGCACTGCATGCATGCAGTACCCACAGAGGCCAGAAGAGGGCGTCGGATTCCCTGAAACTAAAGTTACAGATGAATTGTTGGCTTTCATTTGGGTGCTGAGAATTGAACTCAGGTCCTGTGGACGAGCAGCTAGTGCTCTTAATGGCTAAGTCCCCTGCTGCCTTTGCCTCTCACATCCTAGGATGGTTGGTAGGTGTGAGCCACAGCACAAGGCTGAATAACTTATTTTAAATGTCCCAAGAAGAGAGATATGAGAATCACTTGAGCCCAGGAGTTCAAAATTTGCTTGGATAACATAGTGAGAACACCCATCTCAAAAAAATTCAAATACACATTGTATTGTTTGGTTTGAGTTTTTGAGAGAAAAGTCATATAACTCACTGGGCCTTAAATTGACTATAGCCAAGGATGTGTTTGAACTCTCAAATTCTTCATTTTCTTGCTTCCACCCACCAAGTACTGGTTGTTTATAGGTGTATGTCACTATGCCTGACTCCAAAAATACAATTTTTTTTCAAAACATAGCTTTTGTTTCAATATCCAAATAAAATCATTCCTAACTTGACTCCAAAGACTTACAATTGTACAAAAGTAATTTACTGTGGAGTTATGTGCATGCATGCGTGCATGGTGTGCATGTGCGTGCCTGTGTGTGAATGCCAATTTTGCCATCTACCTTCCATGCCAGAATTTAGATGTTTTCTCAACACTGGCACAACTTACACTCTGTTGATTCAAGACAGAATTATCTTGTTTTCCTCTATCTTGATGGACTAAAATCTGCCCCCTCCCCAAGAAATCATTTTTTTTTTAAACAAGCTTGTCTGCCATCTACCTTGATCACATCCTGACTCACCACCACCTCATGTGTTCATTAAGTCAGTGATTCACAAAGCAATTACCCAGCTAATGAGAAAATGCATTTAGTGAGCTGGACATTCCCCACAATCACTCCCCTCTAGTGGCACCAAAGCTGTCATAACTCAGGGTAGCTGTCTCTTTAATGTGTTGAACATCTTTGGGCTACCCAAATGATCAGACAAAAACTAAATGAACAAACTGAGGGAAACAGCCAGCATTACCCATCTTGGGCCTCTAGGACAATGTTGTAGTTCATTCCTCCTTTCTCTGGCATTGACTTACATCACTTTTGATATAAGTGGTCCTTAACATCCTGTATCTGGGTCTACTTTCATTACCTTGTTCCGTACTTAGTCCTGGAGAGTAATTTTCTGCTCTGGCATGCTGTTTATCACTTCCAGATTATTGGTATAGCAAATATTTTCTTCAAGCAATAATCCTTAACTTGACATTCTGCAACTAGAATAGCATCACGAGGTTTTGGTGGATTCCTCCACTCTGAATCTTCTATCATGGCTGAACAGTCACAGCACCTCCCCCAACTTCCTTCAGTTCTAAATTGCTCTTTTTAGGCAAGCTCTCTCTAAATGTCAGAGCATTTGGTGCCACTTGCAATCTCCAATCTTTTTCATAATAGCAGTTTCTAAATCCCAGCGTCTGGTTCCGTGTGTGTGCCCAGGCGCCTCCGTAGCTATCTCCTGAGAAGCTGCCATGCTCTTCCCGCTTAATTGCTTGCTGAAATGGAAATATCTAGAATTTCTTCCCAGAATCCCTCTAGAAACCCCAAACTGTATTGCTGACCTTGCACAGTTCCTTTTCAAGTGAACTGGGACGACTGGATTATGCTGGCCTAACAACATTGAGGTGGCAGACACACCTGCAGTGACAGATAATTATAACCATTGCCCTGTCTCTTGTCGCAAGTTTCCTGTTTGTTTAGTAGCTGCTTTCAGGATGAATCATCCTTGTTTTCCCAGCTCTGCCTCCTCCTTCATTGAACTTTGGAATACATATGGCAGCCCCTTGTCTAGCTGCATCCTTTACTCACTAGTCTGAGTTCATCCTTTAAGTCACTGAGAGGGAAGCTTCTTTCAGAGTGGAATGGAAATAATGGCTCACACACCAGTGTCAAGTACCTCCCTAGACACTATTTCAAGCCACCTTTACCTTGTGATGCTCAACCTTGCCCTTTCTCTGAATTCGTCTCTATATAGTAACCAAGCCTACAAAAACAGGACTGGCTCAACTCACAGTTCTGGAAAGACTCACAATTCTTATGTTTTACACAAGGGAACACCAAAGTTTATTTTTTATTTTCAAATTGTTTTTATTTTATGTAGGATTGTTTTGTCTGTGATACAAGTGTAGTAGTACACACAGAGGCCAGAAGAGGGCGTTGGATTCCCTGGAAGGAGAGCTACAGATGGCTGTGAGTTGTCATGTTGGGAACCAAACCCAGGTCCTCTGGCAAGGCAGCAGTGATCTTAACTCCTGAGCCATCTGAGCTGTCTTTCCTGAAATTATGTTTAAATGACTGAAAGTAGTCATTTGGGTAGGATGTTTGGGCAAGGATAGTGAGGTGAGATATTTTCACTGTGCACTCTGTAATAGTTTTTATTTGTTCTTGACACAGGGTCTCACTATATAGTCAAGGCTAGCCTTGAACTTTTGATCATCTGGACTTGCACTTACTGGGATTAACACATACAACACCATGCCTGGCTAGGTTTTAGGTTTTGAAACACAACTGTTAAGCTACATAAGATGTTAAAAATGAGTTGACCCAAATATAGGAGTACAGGTCTATAATCCCAGTACTGGGGAAGTAGGAGGCAGGAAGATAAGTTTAGGTCATCTTCAGCTCCATAACCAGTTCAAGGCCAGCTTTAACTATACAAGAAGGCTACATCTGAAAGAGAGGTAAAGAGGGTGAGAAAACCAAGTGGGGTAAAAAATGAACAAGTTAAAAAAAAAAAAACATAGCTGGGTATAGTAGTTCACACCTGAAATCTTAGCATTTGGGAGACTGAGGCAGGAAGATGGCTATCAGTTTGAAGCTACCCAGGGCTACACAATAAGTTTGAATCCAGTATGAGCTAGAGCATGTCTCAAAATAACAAGCAAATAAAACAAAAGCAGGTTGGAGAGATGGCTTAGTGTTCCACTTCCAGCATTCATACACCCTGTAACTCCAGCTCCAGGGGATCCAGCCTTCTCTTCTGGCCTGTAATGGTATCTATACTCATGCAGCTCTCTCTCTCTCTCTCTCTCTCTCTCTCTCTCTCTCTCTCTCTCTCTCTCACACACACACACACACACACACACAAACACAAATAAATAAATAAAATGGCTGCTCTTCCAAAGGACACAGGTTCAATTCCCAGAAACCACATAATAGTCCACAAATATCTGTAATTCCAGTTCCAGGGGAAATGACACACTCTTCTGTCTTGTGTGGGTACCAAGCACACATATGTGCATATACACACATGCAAGTGATACGTATAAAACAGGGAAACATAAAAGAAAATTAAAACAATTTCAAAAGAGAATCAACTTCCTGGCATGTATAGAAAATCAAGATATTGCTGTCATTTATTTCGTTTTTTGTTTTTTTTTTTTTTTTTTTTGTACATACTAGTAATCGAACCCAAAATCCTATACATTCTAAGCTACAACTGCAACTATTTCCTTATTACTGTTTTCCATGTTAACACACAGAAGAAGTCAGATAATACTTGGGCATTCCTCAGAGGTGATGCAAATAAAATGTTTAAATCAATAAAAGTCAGGTTTCCGTTTTCTTTGCTGTTTGAAATATCTTTCTGATGTACACATACACAGAGGCACACACAATTCAAAAAATGGAGAAGCAAGATAGAACCTCACAAACATGTTTTTATGAGTTCAAAGTTGATTACATTTATGTGCTTTTCAGTCATTATACAATGTACAGACATGATCCACTGAATGATTTATGCTCCTCAAATGGTTAAACAATGATTTTCTATGAAATACTAGACAAAAAGCTTCTAGAAGCAGAGTACTGTTTCCTGCAAAAATTCAACTTCAGGCATACATTTGTGTTTACATATATTCCTTGAGAATGCTACATTAGCAGTGCATAAAGTTTATTAAAAAGAGCTGAAAGAGAAATCTATTTTTCAAGAGACTCGATGCATTGTGCTTTCAGATAAAAATTCTAGGACAATAAAGATCAGTTGCTGTGACAAGAACAGTTAAAACTGCACAGATGTCAGAGGTCAGAAAATGCTATAAAGAAATGGAAATAGTTGTGCTTAGGGGACATTTTTTGGTAATTATTTCAATAAATAAAAACTTTAAAATGTCTCAGTGACTGATACAAAATAGACACAGATATCTAGGTCTTTCTCTACTTGGCTTAGAGTTTGAAGGTGAAAAAAATCATGGCCTTGGAAACTGTCATCTGACATTCCCAACCAGGGCAAGTCACTTACACTCAGGCAAGCAAGGGACTTGAGAGAAAATCAAAAGGTGATTTCCCCTTAATATCATTAAGGGTTAACCAGCATAAAAGCTAGGACGAACAAATCAAGTTTAAAAAAAGTGCCTACCTTCTTTTAGAACTCTCAGGCCAAACAGAGACACCAGACTGCTTCTATGAGGTGCCTGGTATCCAGAGCACAGCCTGGTCTGTGGTTCATAAGATGATTTAGATTTAAATACAACTTGTGTTCTGAGAGCCCTCAGAATGTACCTTGTTTTCTCAACTCTCTTACATACTGACTGTAACATACACTACAGCAACTCCTTGCAATGGCAGAGGAAGATTTATGATATGCATAGTAATGTTGATGCTTGGGTCTAGGCAATAAATGTCATTTTATCTTCAAGCTGGTCAGTTGCTTGTTTAGGCCTTCAACTTTGAAGGACCCACGACCCTTATCAAAGTGAATTAGACCAAAAGAGATGAAAAATAACATTTAAAGTTATTAGCACAATAGGTATAGATTTTAAAAAGAATTTCTTCAAATAATTCCCTATGTATCACTCAGAAGTATATTTTTGCTGTCTGTAACATAAAGTGCTAGAGTCCTTCAAATAAAATTATAGACTAATTGAAAATATATATTACACATTTGCAGTTACTTGAAATCATTCAATATTTTGTAGTGTGTTAATGGAGTGAAATAGAGATAAAAGGCAGTCCACATTCGTATTTAAGATAAATTTACTTCAGACGTCAGTTTTAATCCTTGCTCATGTTCTAAGTATAGCCATTGTGATAAGACCTGAAAGGGAAAAAAAAAAAAAAATGGAGGGCAGTTAGAGAAATGCATTTCAGAAAATTTACCATTCAATAAACACTAGTTTGGAGCTCAGCAAGCAAATAAAATACAGTGCCACAGGCAGGCACTCTACCAAGAACTCAAAGTCGATTTTAATTTAGTTGATATTATACAGAAGAAATCCAATTTACAACAATAGGCAGTCACTGGATAGATTTAATGAAATCACTTATGTCTGGTCATAGCTAATTTCACTATCAAACATACCTCTTACTTTATCAGTCACATCAGCCATAATAACAGCAGATATGCCATTTAAATGTGTCTGTAAAACCAAATAGACATCAGTAGCCTATTGATGTCAGGGCTTTAGGGCCACTTTCCTTGAGAGATTTCACATTTAAAACCATAGCTATTCAATAACATAAGAACATGCTCCATCCTTTTTTTCTTTTCTTTCTTTCTTTCTTTCTTTCTTTCTTTCTTTCTTTCTTTCTTTCTTTTTTTTTTGAGACAAGGTATGTACTACATAGCACTGGCTCTCATGGAACTCACTCTGCAGACCAGGCTGGCTTCAAACTGAGAAATCTGCCTGCTCTGCCTCCTGAGTACTAGGATTAAAGGCATGCGGCACTACACTGTCTTGCATGCTCAGTCTCGGGGAGCAATAAAGAAGAGCACAGTGAAGGAAGATGACTGCTTAGGACTGCTTAGGACTGAAGCAGTCAGAAATGCTGTTTCCAAATAGGACACTGGGATAAATCTTAGAAGATGGAGATACAGAAAGGTACAGAACAACGGCAGGCTTTTCAAGAAAGGGCATGGCCTGACAAGAGTGTACATGGAGGCCCAGAATTTCAGATAAGATTTTCTAGAATCAATGAATACTTCAACAGGTTCTACTGAAGGATTTATAAAGTGGAATAGCTAGAAATCAGCTCCATGAGGTTTGTAAGACAGCACTGGTATAAACGCCAAGCTATGCTGTTACACTTTATCCCATGGACTTTGAGGGACCAATGGAGATCTTTAGAGTAGGGAGACATCATGAAACTGACACACGAGGGAAATCAACCTCATGACAATGTGATGGGTGGTTTGAAGGATGAGGTCAAAGCAGAAGGAACAGGGAGAGTGGGAACACAAAGAGAGAATAAAAGGGACATTTTTGAAAGTAAAAACAAAAGCAAAACAGAAATCCAGATGTGATCACCCAGAATAAAAAAAAAAAAAAAGATAAGAGAGAGACATGGGGAGGGGTTTGGTCCTTCCTCAACTGAATTGCCAGGCGTTGCTGACTCCCGACTGGAGGTCTTATGCTTTGGGAGGAGTAGATGGAGGGTCCAGGGGGGGAGGCATGGGAGGGGGGTAAAGGGGGGACGCATGGGGAGAACTGTGGTTGGAATGTAAATTGAAACTAATATAAATAAGCAAATACATGACATGCATACATACATACAAAAGTAAAAAAGAAAGGCTAGTGTGGTGGTATATAATTATAACTACACAACTAGGGAGGTGAGTACAGGAAGGTTGGGAAGTCAAGGAAAGAATGGTCTACGTGAGACCTTGTCTCAGAGGGGAAAAGAGCAGAATAAACGAGCATTACAGGGGACACGGAGTAGAGGTGACAGGAGAGCATCAGAGAAGGAAAGACTCTTGTTTTAAGACATTATCGCCTATAGTGGATGGAGGATGGACTCCTAAACCTCCTTTGTCCACCTCCCGATTACAATTCTTTGCCCAACTGGAATGTATGTGCTTTATACACATTTTATAACATTGGAAATCAGTAACCCCTCACATCAGTACCAAAGCATCTTTAAAACCCTTACCTAAGATATAAGCAGCCACTAATTTTTGATTCACACTTAAGTGGAGGTAGAGAGGCACCAGCGATTCCATATCCCCCAGAGTAGGCAGCATCAGGGCCGCAATACACACCACTCCCAGGAAGACAGTTAGCAAACTAGGTCCTGAAGACACAGTTCTGTTTTCTGTAGTTAAAGCAAAAAAAGAGATAATCCCTGACCTTTCTTCTAAAACCAATGCAAGACGCAAGTTGAAAGTTCCCTCACTGATAGTGGCCACCATGCATCAGGACCATGCTTTGGCTATTTCTATCAACCCTTCATCACTACTCTAATCCCATGGACACATTCGTGTTGCACTTACATGGAAGTCTCCAATTTAACCCTCAGTCATTATACAGCGTCTTGCTTAAATGGCAAAGGGAAGCAGTGGAAAGAACAGAGATTACAAATTCCCCAACCCCATTTGTAGGCTACAATAGAAAATAGTCCTTCAAGTGTGCTTTATGATTTCTCTTGTTTGTTTGATCTCTCTATGTAGCCCTGTCTGTCCCGGAACTCAATATGTAAACCAGGTTGGCTTCAAAGTCACAGAAATCCACCCACCTCAGCTTCCCTAATGCTGGGATTAAAGATTATGTGCTGCCACACCCAACATTGTTTGCAGTTGTATAGATGACTACTGTATTAGCGCAAATACCAAAGAGAAAGCATATAAATAGCTTTAAAAGAACATGCTAGAAATAAGTGGGCATTCAACATTTTCTTCCTGTACACCAGTGAATGGCTTGGATATCCCAGGAAGTCCTGACTTAAGAAGGCTCAACTTTACACTGGTGTGAATGCAATAGGCATAACAGCAGTCACACTCCAAACTGTTAATTTTGATTGTTTTCAGGCTTCCTGGTATCTGGTATGATAGTTAGAATACAGGGCTTCAGCAATGAGCTGCAACTGTCTGTCGGCATAGCTATCATAAGAGGAAAACAACCAACACCCTGCAGTGGATTGTGTATCCAATGCTTTTCCCACAGACAACAGGTTCAATTCATATAATGGGCTAACTGGGACAAACTGGGGATTTAAAATAATCAAATTCATAGATCAGAGAGAATTGTGGCTTCCAGGACCTGGGAGAAGAGGCTAATGGGAGCTGTAATTCAGTTCATACAAGTCTCAATCATATGAGATTTACACATCTAAAGATACAACTCTGTCACATAGGACCTATATTTAACAACACTATATTGGGGGTGGCCATGGCACATACCTTTAATTCCAGCTTGAGGGAGGTAGAGGTAGGTGGATCTCTGTGAGTTTAAGACCTGCCTGGTCTACAGAGAGAGTTTTAGTTTGGTCAACACTACCTAGTAAGACCCTGTCTCAAACAACAAAAATTGCAACATCCTTTTATGCACCTAAAAATTAGTTGAGAATCTGATATAATAGTGTAGGCCTATCATCCTAGCATTCAGAAGGCTGAGGTCAGATGATCATAAGTTCAAGACCAGCCTATGCTAGATAACATACTCTAATCTCATATTGAGTCACAATAAAAATGAAACATGACCAAACGTGGTGGCTCACACCTATAATCCCATCTATTCCAGAGGAAATGGTGGCATAAGTCTGTGATCCTATTTCAGATGCTGAGGCAAGAGGATTGAAATCAAAAGGCCAGCTTGGAGAACTTAGTGAGGTCATGTCTCAAAAGTAAATATAGGGCTAGAAAGATAACTCATGAGGACTTGAATTTGACCCCCGAATCCATGCAAAATCACGAATAACACACACACACACAAAATCTGCTGCCAAGCCTGAGGTGGAAGATACACAGTAATTCCAGATATTTGAACTCAGAAGATCCACCCTAAATCTGGGCCAGACATTCTGGTGACAGCCCACATTAAAGGTTGCCAAAGAAGGAAGCTTCTGCTTTCTGTCTGCTTTTTCTCACTTTCATTGGTAAAGTCATGTATCCTGAACCATTCCTTCAATTGTGCTATAACCTACTTGTTCAGGATTCCAATGTAAACTAAAAACTGGCAGCTCTCTTGGATGTCCCTGCGACTCCCAGCACCAGATTGTGACAGCTGAGACATCCAGTTTCAAGGTCTGGACAACTAATGGATACTTGGCCTTTCCATCAGGAAACAGCAATGTCAGACTACTTGGGCCATAGCAAGCCACTTTAATTAAACCACATACACACGCACACACTATAATATATAGAATATGAACACACACACACACAAGTTCATTCTATCAGTTCTGTTCCTCAGAGAACCCTGACTAATAATCCAGTAACAGCATTTTTTCTACCATGTACCTTTCCCGACTAATTTTCCTTTCATTAAAAGGAATAGCCAAGAGCAACACAATTTGTGTTTTATTAATGAAATAATGCTGTTCATTCTATTATTAAGTGGAACTTTTCTAAATTATTAATACCTTAGCTATTGTGAAATTTAATTGAACTTCACCAAAGCCAAAAGGTAAAACAAAGTCACATTTCATAGTAATGATTGCTTGGGATGAAACAATAGCATAAATAACTTTAAAAGCCCTTAGTTCTCGGTTTCTCCAATAGCAAGAGGGGAAGCAGAGACCCAATGAGCACAGCTGTGAAGATCCTGCCTCATACAAGGCAGACTGACACGTGCAAAGACAAAAATGTACAATAATTTTATATAGACAACATATGCTATAGAACTGTGCCCCCCTTGCTAATGTACTTGAAACTTTTGAAAGGATTTAATTATTTTTATTCTACACACAACATGTGTGCCTATGGAGGCCAGAAGAGGGTGTCAGACCTCCTGGAACTGCAGCTACAGACAGTTGTGAGCCACCATGTGGGTGCTTGGCATCCAACCTGGGTTCTCTAGAAGAATACCAAGTGCTCTTAACTACTGAAGCATCTCTCCAGCCCTGTATTTGAAACTTTTGCCACTCACTATACAAACTTCATTCTAACAGATACTTGTAAATGCCTGCCTGGCAGTGCATTTCATCAACACTCATAACTTAATTATAAAATGGTGGTTTTCAGGTCAATACAAACAATAATAAAGAACATAATTTTCTGAAGCCAGAAGGTGCAGACTCAAATGTGTGTGACCAAGCCTTTGCAGTTCATTATTAACATAAGCAATTAAATAAGTAATTAAAACAAATCTACCAATATTCAGTTCTATCTTTTTTAAATGTCTTAGGTAGCCTTGGCTAGTAGTTTATGAAAGCATATATTATGTATTTCTCCTAATTTTATAGTTTCTTTTTTACATGAAAAGATGCACAAAATATAAAGCTATATTTTCATATGCAGTCAACACTCACATAAGCCACCTTGTTAGGTGTATGACACTGTAGTGGCTTTTTCCTTTTTGAAATTATGTTGTTGCAGTGTAGTTTTTATTGTTTGGGGGGGCAGCTTCTCATGTGGCTCAGGCTGGCCTTACACTCTGTATCTAACAGATACTAACAATTACTTCTAGGAAATTCATGCTTAGTTTGTAGTCCTGGTATTAAGCAGAAAGTCTGGGCACTCCATGTACAGCCTGGAAAAACTGCAGAATGGCATCACAAAATAGCACTTGCCGTCATCTAAAATAAATATTTGAAGAAGGACACACTGATATGTGGGTTGATATAATAACAAGGACATTTGTAAAATATCCCCAATATGAGCTTCAATTTCTTTCCCTTTTCTCTTAGTTTTAATTTACTTTTTAGTTTTATTTTAATTTCATATATGTGTACTATATTTACAAAATGGGTTTTTTTTCTTTGTTTTTGTTGGGGATGGAACCTAGGGCCTTGCTCAAGCTGGGTACATGCTCTGCCACTGAGTCACTTTTTCTGTTTTGACAGTCTCAGTAGGTAACCCTCATGGCAATCCTCCTGCCTCAGCCACCACTCCTGACTTTCACATTTCAGTTTCACAGACAGCTGGTTTGCATTCATATATCACTCTCTGAAAAGACCTTTTCCTATGGAAACTTTTATCTCCCTAGTCTTCTAACAGAACAGAAGGACAATGATTAGAAGTTGTTGGGAAAAAAGGGGATTGATGTCTGAAAGTTGGATATGACGAGATTGTCGTTGTTGAAAATATATATTATAGTGATTCTGAGTATCTAAGCTGGAAGGAAATGAGGAATGGAGAGGGATTCAATTAATAGCCCACAGGGGATATTATAATCTACTTAGTTTAATTAACTTCAACTTTAATGAGATTTTTTTTCCAAAATAATATGAACAGCACACTAAGCTTGGCCTATTGCCAAAATGAATCTCTCTCCTCCTTCAAACTAATTAAATGAAAAAGGATATAGGAAAGTCATAGAAACAATCGTATATAACTGCTAAATTGTACTGGTGTTATAAATTTGGTACCTGCATTCTTTAAATATATATGTATATATTGGAGATATATGGCATTTCATACATTTCAAAGTCCAGCGTGGCAATCATCCATTCCTCTTACCTACTGCAGCAGGCATTCCTGCAGCCCCACTTGCTGACTAGGTTGAAAGTGGTTAATTTTGGTTTTGTTTGTTTTTTTGAGACGGGTTTCTCTGTAGCTTTGGAGCCTGTCCTGGAACTCTCTGTGTAGACCAGGCTGACCTCAACCTCCCAGAGATCCGCCTGCCTCTGCCTCCCGAGTGCTGGGATTAAAGGTGAGCCACCAAGGCATAGCAAAAGTGGTTATCTTAGTAGTAGTTAGTCTTAGCTCCAAGATTACAGTTGGAAATGTATAAGGTTTTAGAAGCAATACTACCTGGTTGACATGACTGCTCAAAAAATACACTTTCCGCTAAATGTTCCTTTATTCTTTTCTCCTCTTCTTCCTTTTGTTGTTCCTTTGCAGATGGGAGAAGAGTAGCGATAACCTCTTTTCTTCCTAAAGCCTTCCTCTGGCTTTGCTCTGAGACTTGGAGGCGGAATTTGTCTATCACACCATAGTGACAGGATCGAACATCTCTGTGACGAATCACACTGAAAACAGCAAAATAATAATAATAATTACAAAGTCTGTTTAGGTTTCCATGGGCTTGTCAAACAGAAGGCGTCAGAAATCTCAATAGGATCAAAATATTCTTTCTGACTATAACTAAATACTCAAAATTTGCTAATGACCCTGGGAGGGGGGAACAATCATATAGCCTAAGAAAGAAAGGAAGTAAAGGGGCAATTGTGAACTTATTAGATGAAAGCACACACATAGGATAAAAGTCTTCTCTGTGTGTGTGGCTGAAGATTGAACCCACGGCAAGCAGTCTACTACTGAGATATGGCTTGCGCCAAAAATCTAAGTCTCGAGTAAAAGAAGGATGAAGAAAATTGCCTTTAGCAGTGTTTTTTTTTCTATATATCTGTTAAAAATTTCTTTCTAAATTGGAACACATAAAATCGTAGTTTTTTCCTCACAAACATAATAAATTCCCATTGTTTCTTATTTGTTATTGAGGTGAGAAATCTTCCCTTTATTGTACCTGGTTCTTCCAAGGGAATGAAAACACAATTAGGTCAAGAGTAATGTGTTTATTTGATAAGACTACATTTCTTTGAAATATCCTTGCTTATTGTGTACTTAATGACAACCCAAAGACATGTGCAAAAATTTGTTCTTAAAAAAGACACATCACCTGCCAGGTAGTGTGGCCTTTAATCCCAGCACTCAAGAGGCAGAGGCAGGCAGACTTCTGTGAGTTCAAGCCCAGCCTGGTCTAGAGACCTAATTCCACAACAGCCAAGGCTGTTATATAGAGACACCCTGACTCAAAAATCGGAAAAAAATAAAGATCTGTGTGAGATCCTTGAATGTTGTGCTGACCTCCACCATAACATTATCTCGTTGCTACTTTATAACTGGAATTTTGCTACTGTTATGAATGTACTGTAAATATCTGTGGAGCTAGAGGTTTGACAAATATTGCTTTGAGCTGAGGAAGAAAGAGCTGCCTCTCATAGGGGGACAGCTGACTTGGTAGCTTAAATTAGGGGCTGGCTAGTAGATTCACTTGGCCACTACTAGTTTCTAAAGTACAAATTCAATATGAACTGCTTGAAGCATTCAGCCTTTTATAGATGAGCAGGTACACACACTCTCTTCCTGTTTCAATTCAATCCCAGGCTTTTTAGCTTAATCCTTTCAGACGATCTTATACTGCTATTGTTCTAGAATGTAGTATTATTCATTTCACAAATGTCACTATAGTAGCAGGATGTCTCAAATAAAGCTAAATTCTCTATTACTGCTGGAGAATTTTCAAAGAATAAGCCAGAACTTGACCATAAACATCGCTGCCCCAACTAAAACAATGAAGAATTATTAAAGAAAATGTTGGCCCAAATTGTTTAGGTATTGGATTGCCTTATATAGAATCTTTCAGAAACTTCTTAAATTTTGATAAACTTTTAGCCTCAAATAAAAAGAACAGAATTACCTACTTAGGAATCACTTTGAGATGGGACCATTTTACACTCTAAATATACATGTCCACACAGCACTGAGAGCATGTTACATGAGTCTGACTGACATATCCACACAGCACTGAGAGCATGTTACATGACTGTGACTTACATGTCCACACAGCACTGAGAGCATGTTACATGAGTGTGACTTACATGTCCACACAGCACTGAGAGCATGTTACATGACTGTGACTTACATGTCCACACAGCACTGAGAGCATGTTACATGAGTGTGACTTACATATCCACACAGCACTGAGGGCATGTTACATGACTGTGACTTACATGTCCACACAGCACTGAGAGCATGTTACATGAGTCTGACTTACATATCCACACAGCACTGAGGGCATGTTACATAAGTATGACTTACATGTCCACACAGCACTGAGAGCATGTTACATGACTGTGACTTACATGTCCACACAGCACTGAGAGCATGTTACATGAGTCTGACTTACATATCCACACAGCACTGAGGGCATGTTACATAAGTATGACTTACATGTCCACACAGCACTGAGGTTTCACTGCACCTGCGGCGTCAACAACAACATACTTATTTGGAGTCGTACATAAAACTGAAAGAAAAAGTCACAATGTCATTTGTGTGGTTAAATCAATTCATTTTAGAAGTAAAAAATTAGTAGGAAGTGGTAAAAAAGATTCAGAGGCTATGAGACTCACCTTTGAACTTTAAGGCAAACTCATAGGGGTTGTACAGCGTCAGCACTTGCTTATGTGTTGACTGATCATCTGCATAAAATATCAGCTCCGTGGGAAACACAAAAACAGGAAGAGTTCCTTCCACTAACTCTGGTTGTCTTTTTTGTTGATGCATTGGCACTGAATCCCCCTTGCTGCAGCTTCCGTCTTTACAGTCTCGAATCTATTTTGGACTTTCTTAGATCCTGTTAAAAACTCCAAAGCATTTTGGCAATCTAGAAATGAGAAAAATAAACTGTATGATACTAATTTTCACTAATGTATCATCACCACACACACACACACACGCACACACACACACACACACACAAATATAAATATTTAAGGAACAGCAAGATGGCTCAGCGGGTGAAGATGCTTGATATCAGGCCAGGCCTGATGGCCTACATTCCATCCACAAGTCCCATGGAGAACCATGTCAAGAAAGCTGTCCTGACTTACACACACACACACACACACACACACAGAGAGAGAGAGAGAGAGAGAGAGAGAGAGAGAGAGAGAGAGAGAGAGAGAGAGAGAGGGAGGGAGGGAGGGAGGGAGGGAGGAAGAGGGAGGGAGAAAAAAGGAAAGTTAAGGCAGGTATGATGGTGCACACCTTTAATCTAGAACTCAGAAGGCAGAGGAAGGCAGATTTGTCTACATAGTGACAATGTAGACAGCTAGGGCTACATAGTTATGAGATGTTGTGGGTACCATGAATTAAACCGAGATCCCCTGGAAGAGCAACTATCTCCACAGTCCCTAAAAATTGGTTTTTTGTTTTTTGTTTTTTTGTTTGTATGTTTGTGTTTGTATGTCTGTCTGCCCTTCTATTTATCCTGAAGTGGAGTTACAGGTGGTCTATGTGGGTGCTGGGAACCAAACTTGGGTCTGGAGAGATGGCTCAGCTGTTAAGAGTACTTCTTGCTCTTTTAGAGGGACTAGAGTGTAGTTTTCAGAACCCACATCTGATGACTATCTGGAACTCTAGTTCCAGGGGATCTGATGTCATCTTTTGGCCTCCTTGGGCACCTCCATAATGTGTATATACCCACACGCATACACTCATTCTTTAAGAAAACTAAAAATTTCCATTATTTCTTGTAGAAAACTTAAGAATCACCTTTCCACTATGTTAGTAATAATTTATTTAGAGCTGTGTTGAAGTATGGGGAATATGGTTCTGTTAATTGTTTTTTCCTACTGTAATGAAGCCACCCAAGATGCCTGGGAGCTGAATGACTATACTTGCTAAGCAGTTCTTGGCATTTCCCTTGAAAACACAAAGTCAATAAGTACTCTTTGGCACACGTGGCACCATTCTTCTACTTGTATGTCAAGTTACACAGGCTTCATGAAAGCTGCTTTTTTTCAACTTTAGAGGACTTTGGGATTCCTACTGGGCTTCTTGAAAGTGTTCCAGGTAGCTGTGGCTGGCAGAAGTCTGTCTGTCAAATGTGATGCTTCTGCTTTTATTTCCTAACCTCATTATAGTCAATATTCTCATTTAGCAAACCCCCTAAGAATAACCATAAAAATAAACAGTCTGAGGATGTGGCTCAGCTGGTAGAATGCCTACCTGGCATGCACAAAACACTGGCTTCAGTGCCCAGTATTGCCTAAAACCAACTATGGAGGAGACACATGCTTATAATTCCAGCACTGAAGAAGCAGAAGCAGGGGGCTTCCATTGCACTGGGTTTCTTCATCGCTCACCCCCCTCTAGTGTCCCCAATTCTAGTCATCTCTCCCAGTACCCTTTTCTATAATCAGGCAAGGATCTTTGCAGTGGGATTGGGACATCAATCTAGCCACAAACCCTTCGACCTACAATCTGACCTGTCTACAAGATGGTGACACAGAACTTGTAGAAGTGGCCGACCAATGACTGGTCCAACTGGAAGCCCATGTCATGAGAGGGAACCCATGCCTGACATTGCCTGGAAGGCCAGGAACCAGAAGCTGGACAGAGACCTAGGGTCGAACCAAACATGACTGGAAAACAAAAGTCAATGAAATGATGCCAAATGATATTCTGCTATACTCACTCACATATCTGTGTTTAGTTCAATTGCAAACAGAGGGGTGTCATCCAGCAACGTGTGAGAGCAGATGTAGAGACCCACATCCAAACACTAGGCAGAACCAGGAGAAACCCGGAGAACGGGAGAGGCACAGACAGGTGGTTCTCTCTGATTTTGAGGCTAGCCTGAACTACACAGCAAGTTGTAGGCGTGGCCAGGCACATAAGTCAGACCCATCTCAAAAACAAACAAACAAACAAACAAACAAAAAAAACAGAATGAAAAGAAAGGAAAAGGGAAATTCAACTCTGGAGGCGAAAAACCTGTAGTTTCAGGCTTTTGGAGGCTGAGGCAAGAGGATCCACAATTAGAAGCTACCCTGAACTACAAAGTGAGACACAGTCCAAAACAAAACACAAATGAAAGCAAAGCAGGAAAGTGTACACATGAGCACTAGGAGGGGGCATTCAGAACAACAGTGCTGCACATGCAAGGGCAAAAAGGGAAGGCACCGAGTCCCCGCTGTCTCAGACACCATTGCAGCTCTCTAGCCATCACCAGAGAGCACGGACGTAGCTCATGACCGTGTTGGCTTTGTTCCAGACTTTAGTTGTCAATAAGCCGAGCCAGCCCCTTGACGTTTTTTACGACTAACAATATCTAATGTTTGTATAATTCATAACAGATTACCCAGACTTTTATTAATTACACAGACTGAATGATTAACGATCTGTTAGAGTCTTTCTTGGACTATACTGTGTGCTAAGTGTTTCTTATTATTATTGGTCGTAGTGATTTTTAATTATGAATCGACCAGCCTGAAACAAACAACAATAACAGAATATCATCAGGCTTCCTGCCTTCTAGGCCAGTATTCTTTCCACTATGCCAAAATATTTCCACAAGGGAAAGAATATTTTGTAAAGCATCTAACTGAAGTAATGATAATTTAGCCTATTTTCACTAAATCTATTTTTCTTTCCCGTCCATCCTTCTCCACTCCCCTCATCCCCTACCCCTGCTTTCTTTCTCGACAGGCTCTCTGGTAAATCTGCTCTTAATCTCACAGCAATTCTCCTGCATCAGCGTCTCAAGCACTGGGCCTTCAGGCACAAGCCACCACACAGACCTCTGAATTCCTTTCTTTTGCACTAGGCTGTATACACTGCCACTGGCATAATGCACTCTCAGAAATTTGCTATATATTTTAAATAGAAAACAATAAGCTGTGTGATTTCATTCTTAAGAAACCTGGCTATTAGGGAGATCCAAAGTTGACATGACTAAGTAATATGCTATGACTCATTCTAGAACTCACTTCTGAGGGAAACAGTTTATGATTAAAAGGTAGCAGTTTTGATTTATAGAAGACATAATCATTAAGTATTGGTTAAACTGGGGAGCCATCTAGAAAACAATAAGTTGAATTAGGTCTTTGCTTAATGCCATGGCCAATTCCAAACAGATCAAAACTTTAAGTGTTAAAAGGGGAGGGAAGAGCCAGGTGTTGTTGGTGGCACAGGCTTTTAATCCCAGCACTCAGGAGGCAGAGGCAGGTGGATCACTGTCAGTTTGAGGCAGGCCCCCGGTCTACAGAGCTAGTTCCAGGACAGGCTCCAAAACTACAGAGAAACCCCGTCTCAGAAAACCAAGAAAAGAAAAAAGAAAAAAAAAGGGGGGGGGAAGCTCTAGAAGAAACCACTGGGAATTAAAAAAGAAACTCTCAGGCTACCAATGACATAAAACTAAAACCCAGAAAACTTGCAAATTTAGTTACATAAACTTTTACAAGTACACAGTCCTGGGCTGTGATCACAGCACATGGGAAGTGGAGGCAAGAGGATCAGAAGTTCAACGTGAGCCTTATTTATACAGCAAACCTGAAACCAGTCTGGACTACATGAGAGCCTATCACACACACACAAAAATGCAAAATATTTTATAGGAAAGGGACATAGCTTACAAAAGGCTATTTAAAAGCCGGGTGGTGGTGGTGGTGGTGCACGCCTTTAGTCCCAGCACTTGGGAGGCAGAAGCAGGTAGATGTCTGTGAGTTTGAGACTAGCCTGATGTACAAAAGCTAGTTTCAAGACAGCCTCTAAAAATCACAGAGAAACCCTGTCTCAAACTAATAAACAAATAACCAAAATGCTATTTAATTAACCCCACAAACTAAAGCCATGCTATGATATCAGATCAAGAAAACACAAAAACAAAACAAAAAACCTTGTCAGCACATGGTGAGCGAAATCAGAAATCAGGCACATTCTTGTATTACTGATGGAGATACAAATTGGAACAACTACTATCCTGTTAGAATAAAATCCTCATATCTTCAGAGCCATTAACTTTAGTTTTAGAATATTTCTGGAACACATCCACCACCACCACCGCCGCCACCATGTATGAAGTTACATATTCGTGAAAGCTTTTATATGAAGTATTAAGGATTAAAGGAAATGATTTATGTGAAGTTTGGTGAAAAGACCTTGGTACTCAATATAAGCTAGTTTTCCATTGCAAAAGACTGGAAACAGCCCAGTTATCCATTAGTAGGGGATTTATTAAAGTGTGGTACATCCATAGGGGCTTTATTAAAGTGTGGTACATCCACACATCAGGATACAAGATACCTGCCAAAACAATAGAGAAAGCTCTTTGTGTAGCCAGACATGAATCAAGCCTCACTATGTAAGATAAAGTTGGACCTATTAACACAAACATGTAATCCCAGCTACTCAGGAAGTTAAAACGGGAAGCTATCAAATTCAAGATTTGCCGGATACTTAATGAGACTGTATCAAAACAAATAGTGGATTGGTCTACAGCTTAGTGGTAGAACACTTGCCTAGCATATATGAAGAAGTGCCAGTTTCAATCCTTAGTACTAAATAAAAGACTGACCACAAACAAAATCCTAGTCAGGGAGATTAAAAGTAAAAGGAGGGCTGGGATAATAAAGCTCGGAGGTAGGGCTGGTCTCCAGCATGCTTTCCCTACCAAAATAAGATAGGATTGAACAAGAAAAGCAAGGAACACCTCAGCTGTGTAGGGAGTCCCAGAACAGCATGGGCTACATTACCAGTCCAAACAGGTAAGTAAATAATAAAATATGTACTTTCCAAGCCTTTTAATACAGGTGTGGTGGCAAAGGTCACCCTAGTAGGGAAACAGGCAGTAGAGACTCTCAGAATGAGATTGTCTCAAAC